CCATATTAATGTTGTGTGATTCCTCCAATAAAATCAAGATTTCTCTATTTGTGAAACCGAGGCGAAAATAATCCTCTATAATCTTTTCCATTCTAAATGCTATAAAATGATATGTTCCAGCGTCCCGTGTTTGACTTGGTGAATGAAATGCGAGCAAAGTCAAAATTACGAGTTTATACCTCACAATTTTGACTTTTTATCTCACAATTCTGATTTTTTTTCTCGCAATTCTGACTTTTTTATCTCACAATTCTGACTTTATAACTCGCAATTGCGACTTTATATCACGCAATTCTGACTTTATAACTCGCAATTGCGACTTTATATCACGCAATTCTGACTTTATGTCTCGCAATTCTGACTTTATAACTCGCAATTGCGACTTTATATCACGCAATTCGGACTTTTTATCTCGCAATTGCGACTTTATATCACGCAATTCTGACTTTATATCTCGCAATTCTGACTTTATATCACGCAATTCTGACTATATCTCACAATTCTGACTTTATAACTCGCAATTGTGACTTTATATCACGCAATTCTGACTTTATATTTCGCAATTCTGACTTTATATCACGCAAATCTGACTTTATATCTCGCAATTCTGACTTTATAACTCGCAATTGCGACTTTATATCACGCAATTCTGACTTTATAACTCGCAATTGCGAATTTATATCACGCAATTCTGACTTTATGTCTCGCAATTCTGACTTTATAACTCGCAATTGCGACTTTATATCACGCAATTCGGACTTTTTATCTCGCAATTGCGACTTTATATCACGCAATTCTGACTATATCTCGCAATTCTGACTTTATAACTCGCAATTGCGACTTTATATCACGCAATTCTGACTTTATATCTCGCAATTCTGACTTTATCACGCAATTCTGACTTTATATCTCGCAATTCTGACTTTATAATTCGCAATTGCGACTTTATATCTCGCAATTCTGACTTTTTATCTCACAATTGCGACTTTATATCACGCAATTCTGACTTTATATCTCGCAATTCTGACTTTATATCACGCAATTCTGACTTTATATCTCGCAATTCTGACTTTATAACTCGCAATTGCGACTTTATATCACACAATTCGGACTTTTTATCTCGCAATTGTGAGAAAAAAAGTCAGAATTGTGAGATAAAAAGTCGCAATTATTTACTTTATTTTTTTATTCAGTGGCGGAAACAAGCTTCCATACCAGACAGCCTAGCCTCCACTTAAAACACTGGTGACGAGCACTTGGATTCAATGCAATATTCAGCACCTTTCAGAAACAACAACGTGCCATTAAAGTCCCCCCTTAGGTGAAAATTAAGCTTTTGTTTGTATGTCTGTGTGGTGTTTTAAAGCAGCATTATGTAACTTTTTCAACCTTTATAATATTTTTCCAAATCCCTTGTGATGGTACATCGACTTACAATAGATTGAATGACAGGTCTGCCATAGCCTGACGGTGTCTGTATCGCTTTTACTGGCACTATGTAACTTTGGGTTTCAGGAAGGAACCCATGCACAAGAAAAGCTACTGCTTTACGGCATACATCACTTCCCCCACTTCCTCAAATTCTAACGTGTGAGCCCAACGAGCGTTTTTTTTGTGTGTGTTTTTTTTTTTTGTATCATGTATTTTTTTGTATCATGTTTTTTTGTATCATGGCTGTATCATGATACCTCTGTATCATGGGTGAAGCAGCATGCAAAACCAAGAAACCAAAGATTTTGTCGGAGGGCAGTAGAAAGAGAAAAAGGGAGTGTGAGCAAATAAAAGGCAGGACGAGTATCAATATTGGTCCTGCGTTCGCTCGCTGGTGTGAGCTAAAGGAGGAGGAGGGGTGCCCGATCGATGCTTGCCATCAAAAACTAAATAAATCAGCCTTTGTCTTAACGGTGTGTACAAGTTTGGTAGGGGCTACATTCTTGCAAGTAAATAATACATGATTAGATGGACACAATAAAAGGATAACTATCCAATGTCTGCAATCTGATTGTTTATTTATCTTTCAGGTGAAAGCGTCTTGCCTCAGGCTATCCACAAGTTTCCTACGCCCCATGAGGCCTTGCGTCAAAAGTGGGCGTGACTTCCGGTTGGAAGTAAACAAAGCGCGATTTGACATGCTTGACACTCGTTCATTCAACAGTTGACAGTCATTCAAGTTATAGCGATCCAAACTAGCTAACGATGTGGGAACACAACCTCAACGAAATTCAAAAGGGTGAAATAACAGTCCCTTTACCCTCCGCAGTAGTTGATTGGGAGTATTATAATAACATTATTAATAATCAATACTCATCAAGGCATGGTGACAGACAGTTGTGCGAGCTGACAAACAATTAAAATAAAAAATATACACTTAGTCATTGTGCTTTGGAGTTTATTCAAAATTATAAATGAATGTGCTGCTTGAATACATTAACTGGCACATTTGGTATTCTGTCAACACAGGCTTTGATTCTGAGTTTAGCTGTAACATCAGTAGCGAACAGCCAATCACATGCTGATAGAGTTTATAGAACATTAAGAATTTAAACAAATGTACACAGGAAGATTCGTCGTCTTTTGGGAGGTGATGGAAACTACAGTCGTTGGCAGGATCAGAGACGGGCTCTGGCAGGATCACTCTGATTTCGTTTTCAGCTTATGTTCAAAACAATCACGTTTAAGCCACTAAATTAGTTTAGTCCGGCTATACATACAACCGCGAACGGCACATGTTGTCCCTGAGCTCCGTAACTACATCTCTCATAAAGATTTGCTTCTTTAAATAGTAAAATAATTCTCTGAAAAACAGCTAGCCTCTTCGCTAACTAACACACAAAATACCATTGGAATGCTACTTCCGCCGCGTCACCGTAAGTTTCACCCACTTTATTTTTTACAGGAGCGCCCCTCGGAAACTTGTGGATAATGCAAATCGATTTTTCAAATTTGCATATTCATCTATGTTAGCTTGATATTATAATATTGACAATATGGCTATTAACTACCACACAGACATTGAATTGAACTATAGCATATCCATTATGTAAAACAGTAGCCAATAGGCTACTACAAAGACGCTGACTTGTAAACGTGAGCTATGTGATCTTTTGGCGTTTGAAAAAAAATAACAATAATAATAATGTACCTGGGATGAAGATATTTCACACGCAACACTGGAGTCTGCCCAAGACGTGAGAATGCCTTCTGCAGAGTTCGGGGGTATATCTCTTGTCAACAAATGCAGGTGTGTATTCCCTGGCGTAACCATGACAGATTTTATGACAGCAGAAGAGCAAAATTTCAAAAGTTACCTAATGCTTAATATGATTTAAGAAAAAACTTGAAAATAATTCAAAAGTCAACACCGTTGCTGAGTATTTTCAATGAACCAAACACAGTCTCAAAAACACGGTTTAAAATCGCTAGTGATTCTGACGTCACAATCACAAACTACCTTGTAACCAATCAGATCAACATGTGATCGGCAACGATTGGATCTCTGAGCTGCTGTGAGTGAGTGGAGGTGAGGTCATTTGCATATTCATTATGCAATGTGTAGAGTAACTTTACATTCATATTTACATCTTTTAAAGAAACGTTTAAATAGCCTATTTAATTTTGGTGATCAAAGATGAGTCTTAAGGGATGAAATTATTGATTACAAGGGACTTTAAACCATACAGTAGCTTTGTATTTTCCATATGTGTTTTCTTTTGGGTTCCACATTATAAAGAAAGTTATATGGTTTAAAAAAAATCCATGTGTAAATAATGACAATTCAGATTTTTGGTTGAATTATTCCTTTATTGCATTGGTTCTTAGTCCTCTCTAGAGGGCAGTATTTTCTCATGGTTCACTATTGCATTAGAGGTGTAATACCTTACATGCAGTCTGTGACTGAATGATCAAATTATGCTTTCAGTTAGTCTCTGACATCTTTGTGGAAGAGAAGACATAATTGGAATGCATCCCACGGCCATAACATAGAAAAAAACTGTGGCATTTCATAAATGCTTTTTATATAATAGGACAGTATTTTTGCTGCTGTAGCAAACCATATCCTGCAATCTGACCTCATTTTATTATGTAAAAGAATACAATGATGAAGAGTTAGACGGCCGTGCCCTGTTGACTTCCACTCCCCATGCAGAACTATGAAGGCCTTGAACGACGGGTTTCAGGAACAATACAATCACTTATCCTCATGAAGGAACTGGTGTTTGTCCTCGTCATGTGTGTTAACACTGAATGACAATGACGGTTCATCAGTAATGTATGATGGTGACTGTGTGTTAATACCTAGTGTTTTGAAGAACAACAACAACAGGTTAATTTTAATTATAAATTATGCAACAAATAAAGTCACATATTATATAATTCTCTATGCAGTGCAGATTGCTTCAAAAGCAGTTTCACAGTAATAAACTAGAAAATACAGGTTGTTAAATTCGTCACAACTTCAATTTTAGCTGTAAAGCAGCTGTACGGTACGCAATGAAACAACTCCCACCAACTATTCTTTGTTTTGGTTGATCTATCTCTATATTCGGTCATTATCAAAACTTAATTTGAAGTAATCAGGGTGGAAGTGTTTGTTTTATCTTAAATGGCTCATCTTTTTCTCTATATCTGAGTGCAGAGTGTTCTTTGCAGAAAAGTCTTTCTTTTAAGTTTTAAATCAATTTTGCAATGAGAACAGAACAGATCCTGTTCATTTGTGTTCCTTTTTTCATGAACAATGAGAACTGCCAGCATGACAATTTAGTATAATTATTGCTTTGTGACACTGTGCAGTTCTCAAATGTCTAGATTTAGACTATTTATTTACACATCTCTATTAAAGTGTCATAATTGAAAGAAGCATAATTTTTAGTTAAAAATACACAAGTAACTGGGTACTTGTGTGTGCAATGAAACAAGTTGTTGCTAAAAACAAGTTGCAAGAAGCATTAGTCATTGTTTAATTTAGGTATTGTCATGTAAATAAAATCTTGAGTCCTGTGATGATGAACCTGTAGGTTATCACCATGTGAACATCCGTTCACAGTGTTGTTGTTTACATTGTCTTTTTGTTTAATGTTATAATTGTTTTCATATTGTTTATTTTTGATTAAGGATATTATTTGTGATTATGTATCTGTTTGGATTTAAATGCAAGAACACTGATATTGAATGTTTCCATTGTCAGGGGAGTTATTCGACCCCTACAGTTGGTATGACCCACTAGTTTTGGCGGGAAAATAGCATATATAAAGGAGTGAGGCTAATTGAGTGGGGAGAGACGGGCCATGTGCCAGTACTAGTACAGTCCAATGCTGTAGGATGTGTCGTGATTGTCAGAGGTTTGTTCCGCGAGGCTGGATTTGATGCCATGTTTTTGCTGCTTTCAGCATGTTTTATTTATGTTTTGTAATGTTTATTTTGATTATTTTTTTGATGATTTCTTTTGTTTATTTTTGAACTTGATTTGGAGCACGTGTGCTGAGACAGCTGTCCTCAATAAATTCACCTTCAACGATTTCCTGCATGGTACTCCAGTTATTCCATCCTTTCCCGGGCCTATCGGCAGATAAATTGACGCAACGACTCAGGGTAATGGTATTCAACTAGACCTCTGACAACAAATCAGTGTGGCATTCTAACATCAGGCGGCTGTAGTTGAAACCACATCCCGACACATGGTGGCAGCGGTGGTTCCAGGCCTTAAAAGGGAAACGAGTACACATGCAGTGGAAATCATGCTGCCCCAGCTGCACATCGTTTAAAGGAAAGTGGCAGAGGTTGATCTCTGGTCAAAGGAAAATGCCACCAAAGAGGCAAGATGGAGCTAGGGGAAAAGATGAGGGTAAACCAGCAGAGGAACTGGAGGCAACGAGTTCATCTCCAATGCACGATGAAAGGACTTCAGGTAGTACGTCAGAGCCGATGGCTATAATGCTGCAAAACTTTCTGCATAGCCAACAGCAAAGAGAAGAAAGGCTGGAAAAAGAAGCGCAACGTCACGAGCACAAATATCGGATACTTCAACATCAATTCGTACAACTACAGTCCGAAGTTCACCAGGAAAGACAGGATCGGCTGGCAAGGGGGGTGCCAACAGTGAGTGACACAGAGGCTACAGAGTTGAGGTCGGATGCAAATACACGTCCCAGGCGACAACAGGCACTAAGTGATACGACGACATCAGCAGCAGATGAGGTCACAACGGGAAGACGAGATTATGGTTTAACAAGTTTTAACTGCCCAAGGATGCTGCCCTGGTCAAGTGATGAGGATATTGAGCATTATTTAATGACTTTCGAACGTATTGCTCAAGCGTGCAAATGGCCGAGTCAGGACTGGGTGTTACATCTCCTGCCGTTACTAACAGGTAAAGCAAGAGCAGCGTATGTGGCTATGGAGCCTGAGAATTCAATGGACTATGATTGTGTTAAACAGACGATACTTGACAAGTTTGAAATTAATCCAGAAACCTTTCGGCAACGTTTCAGAGCGTACAGTCTAGGTGATGATGAAACACCACGTGAACTGTATGTGAGACTGAAAGATCTGTACGAAAAGTGGATGGTCCCTTCACGTCGAACTAAACAAGAAATTGGTGATCAAATAGTACTGGAGCAGTTTCTCAAATTGCTGAACCCAGAAGCAAGAACGTGGGTGAAGCAGAATGGCCCTACATCGTGTCAACAAGCGGCAGAACTGGCAGAGACATTCATGGCTGCGAGGCGATCACTGCATCAGCCGAGACGATGGCGAGACATCCACCACAGCCCAACCGGTAAGTCTGGGGATGCTAAGGGTAGTGGTCTGAGAAATTTTGATGCTGATAGACGGACATGGCAAAATAGTTCTACTCTGAGTAAACAGTATGCGTGCAAGTGGAGTTAGCCAGTATAACAGAAGGTCTGTGATAATATGTCATACATGTGGTCAGGCAGGGCATAAAAGAGCTGAGTGTCCAGTGCAAAACATGTCTGCTACTCGCTTGTGTTATGAGTTAAGATCTTCTGTGAAGCTAAATGAGATTGAACTGAACACAGACACAGTAGTGGAGGTGAAGATTGGAAATACGTTGTTTAAAGCATTGGTTGATTCAGGTTCAAGCCAGACATTAGTGAGACCAGAGTGTTTGGGAAAGTCAAATGTGCTGAAACAGGATAAGCTGAGAGTCTGTTGTATACATGGCGATGAAAAAGAGTATCCTAAAACGGAGATGGTGATTGAAATTGAAGGCCAAGCCTATAAGTTATCAGTTGGAGTAATTGACAAATCCCCTTATCCAGTGATATTAGGCAGAGATATACCTGTGTTGGTGGATTTGTTGCAGAGTGATGACAAGGTAGCAGATGCAAGGGTTGTAACCAGAGCACAGGCTAATCAAGAAGAGGTTACTAAACAACTTTTACAAGATTTACCATTCAATGTGGCTTCCAAAAACAGGAAATCCAGGAGGGAGAAACGGCAGGATAAAGTAATGGGTACTGAGGTAATTGAAAATGTGAAACAACCGAATTCAGATGATCTCGAACAAATTCCTCATGATATTGTGCAGTTGCAAAGGCAGGATGAAACTTTAAAACCGTTGTTTGAGAAAGCTAAGGCTGATAGTACAAGGTCGGCATTAATTCAGAAAGATCAACTGGTGATCAAGGATGACAAGTTGTACTTAATAAGTGCTGAAGGTGAGAGATTGGTGGTGCCAGAGTCTATGAGATTGAAGGTATTACAATTGGGACATTCCGTACCTTGGGCAGGACATTTAGGCCAGCAGAAAACACTGGCGAGAATTGCTGGTAAGTTCTTTTGGCCTAAGCTCTATACAGACGTTATCGATTTTTGTAAATCATGCCCAGAATGTCAGATGGTGAGACCAGCTAAAAAGAGTGACAGAGTACCTCTGGTAAGCTTGCCTATTATTGACATACCATTTTCTCGTATTGCGATGGACATCGTAGGACCTTTGGAAAGGAGTAGATCTGGTAATAAGTACATTCTTGTTGTTGCTGATTACGCTACGCGTTATCCAGAGGTGTTTCCTCTCAGAAACATCAAGACAAGGCAGGTTGTCAATGCACTGGTTCAACTTTTTTCTCGAGTAGGATTGCCTAAAGAGATAATCACAGACCAGGGTACTAATTTTACGTCTAAGTTAATGAAACAAGTTTGCTCAATGTTGCGCATACATCCTATCCAGACCACTCCTTATCACCCTCAGACCGATGGTATGGTGGAGAGGTTTAACCAGACCTTGAAGTACATGTTACGAAAGTTTGTGTCTGATACAGGAACTGATTGGGACCAATGGTTGCCGTATTTGATGTTCGCTTATCGTGAAGTCCCACAGTCATCAACAGGCTTCTCGCCATTCGAGATGCTATATGGACGTCAGGTTCGGGGACCGTTGGATGTGCTAAAAGAGGCTTGGGAAGGAGATAATGCACGTGAGAAAACAAACATTTTGTCATATGTCATGAAGATGAGGGAGAAATTGGACTCAATGGCCGAGGTTGTGAGGGCTAACATGACAAAAGCACAGCAGCAACAGAAACATTGGTATGATCAGTCAAGTAGGAAAAGAACACTGAGCCCAGGGCAGAGGGTATTGTTATTGCTCCCTACTACAGAAAGTTCTCTTTTGGCCAAATGGCAAGGGCCATATGAAGTGCTTAGAAAGCTGAGTCCCACAAATTATGAGATTGCTGTACCTGACCGTAGAAAAAAGTCTCAGATCTTCCATATTAATCTTTTGAGGCCTTGGAATGAGAGAAAAGGCTCATGGTCAGAGCAGCTGTGGGCGAGGAAAGTGGAGGATGAAGAGGAATTGGAGGAACAATATTTTCCTGTTAGTTCAAATTCAACTTTCCCACTAATTGATCATCTAACACCCAAACAGCAAAAAGAGTTCCAGAGTCTAGTTCCAGGGGGTCTCTTTTCTGACAAACCAGGAAGAACAAAACTTTTGCATCACGATATTCGTTTGCTTGCAACAGAGCCGATCAGGCAAAGTCACTGCAGAGTGCCAGCACGCCTGATCCCTGCCTTGAAAGAGGAAGTGCAAATGATGCTGGAGTCTGATATCATCGAGCCCTCAACAAGTGAATGGTGCAGCCCAGTGGTATTGGTACCCAAGAAAGACGGCACGCTCAGATTCTGCGTTGATTACTCGAAACTGAATGCAGTATCATCTTTCGACCCTTATCCGATGCCGAGAGTCGACGAGTTGATCGAACAACTAGGCAAAGCTAAGTATTTAACAACGTTAGATTTGTGCAAAGGATATTGGCAAGTTCCTTTAACTGATTCTGCTAAGAACTTGACTGCTTTTCGTGTTCCAGCAGGGCTATACCATTTTAAGTATATGCCATTCGGTCTGCACGGGGCCGCAGCAACCTTCCAACGCCTGGTGGATCAAGTGCTGAGGGGTCTGGACAGCTTTGCAGCAGCATACATTGACGATATCGTCATCTTTAGCGAGTCTTGGGAACAGCATCAGGAACACTTGACAAAGGTGTTTGAAAGAATTCAGCGGGCAGGTCTGGTGGTAAATGCCAAGAAATGCCAGATAGCCAGACAGGAAGTTTCTTTCTTGGGATACATTGCTGGAGGAGGTTCAGTGAGACCTCAAGTGGACAAGCTACAAGCAATTTTGTCATGTGCACCTCCATCGTCGAAGAAAAGTGTCAGATCCTTTTTAGGTTTGATCGGCTGGTACAGAAGGTTTATACCTAACTTTGCCAGCAGAGCAGCACCACTGACTGAACTTACAAAGAAAAGCAGTTCCACTAAAGTCAAGTGGACACCTGAATGTGAACGTGCCTTTCAAGATCTTAAGTCCTGTTTATGTAAAGACCCTGTGTTACAAAGTCCGAACTTTGAGTTGCCATTTGTGGTACAAACGGATGCATCTGAGTTGGGACTGGGGGCAGTACTGTTACAGGGGGAAGGAGAAAACCGTCGTCCAGTTCAGTACATAAGCAGAAAACTTTTTCCCCGAGAGACTAAGTATTCCACAGTGGAGAAGGAGGCCCTAGCCATCAAATGGGCCTTGGACACGTTAAAGTACTATCTGATTGGTAAAGACTTTGTGCTTGAGACCGATCACAGAGCATTGCAATGGCTCAAGAGAATGAGAGACACTAACGCAAGAATAACACGATGGTATTTATCCCTGCAACCTTTTAAATTTGAAATCCAATATAGACCAGGAGTGCTTAATGTTATGGCTGACTTTTTGTCACGTCACTCCTGAGGTCGTGACTGTTTAGAGGAAGGGGGGTGTGTGATGATGAACCTGTAGGTTATCACCATGTGAACATCCGTTCACAGTGTTGTTGTTTACATTGTCTTTTTGTTTAATGTTATAATTGTTTTCATATTGTTTATTTTTGATTAAGGATATTATTTGTGATTATGTATCTGTTTGGATTTAAATGCAAGAACACTGATATTGAATGTTTCCATTGTCAGGGGAGTTATTCGACCCCTACAGTTGGTATGACCCACTAGTTTTGGCGGGAAAATAGCATATATAAAGGAGTGAGGCTAATTGAGTGGGGAGAGACGGGCCATGTGCCAGTACTAGTACAGTCCAATGCTGTAGGATGTGTCGTGATTGTCAGAGGTTTGTTCCTCGAGGCTGGATTTGATGCCATGTTTTTGCTGCTTTCAGCATGTTTTATTTATGTTTTGTAATGTTTATTTTGATTATTTTTTTGATGATTTCTTTTGTTTATTTTTGAACTTGATTTGGAGCACGTGTGCTGAGACAGCTGTCCTCAATAAATTCACCTTCAACGATTTCCTGCATGGTACTCCAGTTATTCCATCCTTTCCCGGGCCTATCGGCAGATAAATTGACGCAACGACTCAGGGTAATGGTATTCAACTAGACCTCTGACAACAAATCAGTGTGGCATTCTAACATCAGGCGGCTGTAGTTGAAACCACATCCCGACAAGTCCATAAACCTTCCTTAGAAATCAAAATGTGTGCAATGAAACAAGTTGTTGCTAAAAACAAGTTGCAAGAAGCATTAGTCATTGTTTAATTTAGGTATTGTCATGTAAATAAAATCTTGAGTCCATAAACCTTTCTTAGAAATCAAAATGATAGTTTATGTATGCATATATAGTAGAGAAGCACAACAATTAAGCCTTTTCCAGAGTTTCCAGGTTTTTTTTTTTTTTTTTTGATGAACCAGAAATTTCAAAACATACAATAGGCTACAAACAATGCATGTTTGTAAAAATGACTTTTTGTTTCTTCGAGGGCAATATAGACTCAATTGAATGCTTCACTTCATTTTTAAATGCACATTTATGAATCTGAAATTTACACCATCAAAATAAAAATAATAATAAAATAAGTGCGGGGTAGATTGTTTCCCAGCTCTGCCCAATGAAACAATTCGTTGCGTCACAACAGGCCACGCCCACACGCAGTTACTTATGAACAGGCGTGTGGGCGTGGCCTCAGAATGACGCTCACTTGTTGCTTCACAGGATTAGTGAAACTTTTCCAGCAATACATTAACGGACCTAGTTTGAGTCAAAAGGCTTTGACACAACTTCTTTTCTGGCAGGACGGCTCGCGCGTCCTTGTTGCTTTTTCAGTTCCAACTGAAACGGGTTGAGTTTTCTCAGAAATGTCTCTGGCAGAGCAAAGCCAGCATGGTATCCCACCAGCGTCCAGGTAACGGTGCTCCAGGCGCGGGGTTGCGGATCAAGGGGAAAGAATGGCACCAACGACGCGTACGCCATCATGCAGGTGGCAAAGGATAAGTTCTCCACCTCGGTGGCCGAGAAGAGCGTCGCGCCGGTGTGGAAGGAGGAGGCCGCGTTCGACCTGCCGCTCTTTCACCCTAGTAACGCGGAGCGCTGCACCCTACA